TTTAGTGTAAAAAATAGTGATTTCAAAGATATCGTGACAATATTGTTATTGGGAGTTGGGAAAAAATATTGAGATATTTACTTTTACCCACATCGCCCACCCCTATCCTATGGTGTAGTTAATGTGTCTATCAGTTTAGATGTCGTGTGGAGGGCTGTGTCACTCATGGTCCAGCCAAATTGTTCTTGCCCTGAAATTGTTCAGGAAGGGATCTAAGCACCAACTAGTCTGGACATGAGCAGGATTGAATTCTTTATGTTACACCATTGTATTAAGTAAAATTGGATCTACGAAAGAGTTGTTAGTAATAGTGGATCATGTTTCATTCATGTATAAAGGCTATTTATGTTGAATAATTAACCTGGACAGTTTAAGAAAAAATAAGCAAGGGTTGCTGAATATTATTCCCTAAGTTTTGAATTGTGATTTACAGTGCACCTACTGTGTTTACCTTGTTCAAACTATAGACTTCAAGTGGTCGGAGAACTCTTCCAGAGCATCGGAGGTCTCCCTCAGATCAATCTTTGTTCATTATCTGGAGCAGTCATCCTCTGCACATACGGAAGAGCCCAAAACTGATCAGCTTTCAAACTCAACTCAAACTATGGCTAGAAACAAACCAGTCATGTTACATTTCCTACAACATACAAGACAACATGTTTTGCATGTTATATCTTTGTAGCTATAATCCGGCATATTTACATTTGTTTAATGCAAGGTTCATTGAAGTGCATTGTCCCTATCAAATAAACAAACAAATAAACACATAGAATGTGCAATATGTAACCGCAGGTGTCCACTGTCCCAAAGCCCAGAGCCTCATGCTGCTTGCTTGTACAGTAGTTTAATCACTGAGCATATTTAAACCCACAGAGATAATGATTTATTACTTTAATATTCTTGGACCAGAGTGCTATATGTAATATTCATTTATGTTGTGTGCTCCTCATTCCTTCTGTTCTGTAACTTGCAACACTGACATTTCCCCACTGTAGGACGAATAATGGATCTAAATAATAAGAATCTTAATACCTCCATTCCTTGATGGCGTACCAAAACAAGAACGAGTTCCTTGTCTTAAAACAGTACCATCAAACCTTTCTTTGTGTGTCTACGGATTATTAGTGCGTCACAGGCATTTATAGTGCCTGTGACCTGAGACAGACGTGCTGGTGCCTGGGAAATTCTGTTTCAGGGATCACATTACTGGTGTAAGATTGACCCTGTGGTGCTGGGGAGACAAAGGTAGAGTAAAAATGCATGACACTTCAGAACACTTTTACGCAAGTAGAAATGAAAAGTTGTGGTTTGGGTAATTACTCAAGTATGAAAGGAGAGGAAAGGCTATTTAGAAATGCTATTTACAACATGTAATTCAAGTTAAAGATACAACATTACATTTTAAACATTAATCAGTAACACATTCAATCAATCAATCAATCAATCAATCAATTTATTTGAGCAGGTCATACAAAACAAAAAACAATCCAATAGGAAAACATTTCAAGAAAAAGTAGACACAGCTCAAAGGGAGTAAGCCGAAGTAAAATACTTGTGTGAGCTTACCCCAATTACATTTTCATATTTACATCGTTTTTCAATTAGGTGTGTGTTGTGTGTAGTGTGCGGTGTGTTGTGTGTGTGTGCGTGTAGTGTGTTGTGCGCGGTGTGTTGTGTGTGTGTGTCGAAGTGGGTACACATGCATGCGTGTATATGTTTGTTTCTGATAGTGCATGAGTGCTGTGTGTATTTGTATGTGTACTTGTGTTTATGCCTGGGTATAAGTGTATGTTTGTGTTTGTGTGGATGCACCCAGATTGAAATGTATTTGTGCATGTGTGCCTGAGTGGGTAAATGTATCCGTGTGTGTGTGTGCACATTTGTTAGCCATGAGCATATCCAGTAATGTATTTGCATGTATTACACATGTATGTGTCCCCGAGCTTGAGCTTCACACATGCACGCGTCCACACCCCTCAGTGTCTGAGCACATGCTTGTGTCATGAAGATCCAGCTGTAGGAAAACCGTAAGCCCGCACATGGAAATCCCCTGTATATTCTCACATTCGTAAACATGAGCATATACAGTGCTGTACATTTCAAATTTCACACCACAGCATATCTGAAAGAAAACTCAAATATTTTGTTTAGGTTATTTTGAAAGACAAGTTAGATGTTCTCCCTTGTTGATTTGCTTTGGATGCTGATCTGAAACTATCTTCAGAAGGTAATACATCTTATAACTTGTCTTTTAAACAACCAGAAAAACTCAACAAGACGAGATTAACCCTTTTGAATACTGAAATTGATTTGTTTTACATTCTCTGCATACACCCTTTCCCCATATTTCGAAGGAGGAAGACCCAACTTGTACTCAAATAGAGTAGCCTAATATATGTTGGTGTTTGAGAACTGGGTAACTGCTATTCACATTGGGCTGTATTAATATTTCCTATTTTGGACATGCCATTTTAAAAGTGTGGGTGTATTTTCTGCATTACCCATTTGCACGGTTTCAAGTCAAGTGATCTTGTGATAGTTACTTTATTTCAGATAAATAAGCAGTCAATAACTAAATGTATTTCTGTGTCTATACAGTAATACATAAAAATAAGTTATATTTATTTGTAAGACTATAGTGCACTCCCCAGTTTGGGCACCACAACTATCTGCTTCACAAAGTAGAGGCATGCACATGTTTGGTAATCATTTACTGCATTTCAATGTATTTCAAATAGTTTAATTTGGAGTCATGATGTTGAAAGACCAGGTGCAAACTTAAGCTTGGCCTTTGGTGTTCCAGTTTGGGCGTCACATCACTGTTTGTGGATGATGGACCAACAGCAGGCACCAGGAGAGTTTGTAAAGTGTGAAGCTGCTGGGATGAAATTCAGCACCTCCAAATCTGAGGCCATTATGGTCGATCGGTAGAAGGTGCCTTGCCCTCTCCAGGTGGGTGGAGAGGTCCTCTTGTGGGTTTTGTCAACAAATAGTGAGTGAAGGAAGGGTGTAGTGGGAAACTGACAAGATGATCAATTTCCATTTAAGAATATCTGAAATGTTGTCCATGATCTTTATGAGTTTATGATTTTAATTGCTTACAAAATTCTAATACTGAAGTAGAATACAGGTGAGACCAGGGAGGGAAAGCCAAAACATTACACACATACTCAAAAGATTAGAACATAAATAATAAACATCGAAACAACTAATTCTGTAATGGATTAAGTATTTGTGTGCATGTTTTTCACTGACTATTTAAACGTTGTGAGGTTTGCATTGGTATTTATACATGATTACATAGTATAATTAATACTGTTGTCCTGAATACTGTAGCCTTTGCGTTTGATACTGTATTGCTCTGTAACAGATACCACATTGATACAAAACCACTAGATGGCAGTGCAGCACAGTATTACCCATGGATTACCCAGCAGTGGTTGATCCATGGATGATCCTGTTACATTTATTCTTATAAGAATAAATGGACGTGAAGTTTCAAAATGTACACTTTTATTTTAAACAAAAGTACAAAAACAAACATCAGATATTTACAATACTTGCATGGCAATGTTCACTTTCTTTGGTCATACTTCCAATTATGATGTTTGGGTTTATTTATTTTTTATTCTTCTTACACACAACAATGTCAGCAAACAGCATCACGAGAGCCCAAAATTACCACATGCTGAACCTGCTCAATTATGCTGACAGATTTACTGGCCAATCGTAGCTTTGGCAAGCTTGCCTGGAGTATTCAAGATATGATTTCACAAGAGCGGTGTTTGCCTACAAGCAAAAAAAAACATGTACAATATAAATAGCTAAGAAAAACAAAAATCACATTGTTCACAATACAACCTGGTGTGATAGCTATATTATTTTCTAACTGCGCTTGTTTACAACCAAATGAGTTGTACAGCTCAGAGACTCAGTGTGATTCTACAGAAAGTGGACATGGAAGCCTGAAACCTAGTGCACATTCTCACAACAAGAAACTACAGGAAGATTTATGAACAAATAACAAAGCTGTTCGATAGTCCCTGGGACTTTAATTGAGAATATTAATAATTATTATATAAAAAAAAATCTGTAAACAATGTCTGAACATTGAAATCATGCCATGTGGATATGTTTTCTCTGCACTCGTAAAACGTGAAATGGAAAGCATCCATAAATTGACAACAAATCCAACAAAAGAATGGAAATCCTCTACTTCTAGCTTCTCGTCAGGATCAATCCACCAAAAACAGTATGCAGATCAATTGTTTCTTTACTAACCAAATTGGGTATAAAATACCCATAGCCCTTCCAGAGTCTTATTATTAAGCTTAATTATGAAAACATGATGATGGAACCTTTCAGTGTTTGCTTTGTGTACAAAGGCAAGGGAGTCCGACACAGGCCCAAAATAGTTACAGCAGATCACTAGAGCCTAATTATGATATTACTTGCATCAACTAAGAAAACAATTAGGGCTCTGCATTTTTTTTTAAAATAAAGAAGTAATATCTGTAATAGTATATCATAGTTGTTGACAATTAAACAGTAGTGCAGACACGTTCATGTATCCCATACGTTTTCTAAAGAATGGTTTGGTGTAGAGTGGAGTTTGGATATGCTTTAGTCAAATGATCCCTGAAACAAGAAACCAAATCCAAACTGACGTCATCCCAATGTACATTACTTTTCTTCAAAACTAGGGCGAAGAGAGATGTGCAAAGATCCATGGTCTGACTTGCTGAAAGAAAGGAAGGAAGAATGCATCAGATATTATATAAATATATTTTGCATGTGATTGTGTTTTTTACTAAACATTTGAAAATAGCGGTGTTGTTAATTCTACTTTTAAGGACATTTCACATTTACGAGGTTTACAAGATTTTTATAGTCTGATTGGAGTGATTTAGGGCAAACCATGCAGGTAATGTTGTTTTGCAGGAAAATGCAACCGAGTGTATATTAACCTTTCACATCTCCACAGGATTGATGCATATTCTCTACACTTCAGCTTTTTGACTGTTCTCCTCAACTTTCTCCTCAAGTTTCTTCTCTTCTTCAGAAGAACCATTTTCCTTTTCACCAGTTTTCCAGCTTCCCTGCCTGTTTAGAAAACCACAACATTTAGATTATTCCAAAAGACTTCACTTGAAATATGAATAAATATCAACATACTTGGATTTTCTCATGTAAATCCAGTAAGCCAGTCCAATAACAAGTGCAGCCACTAGAAGACCCACGACCACACCAACTACCAGTTTGGTTTGGTCACCATCTTCTGATTGATCTGTCAAAGAAACAGACAAGCGAGTTAGATAATGAATTGTCCAAAAGGACAGCAATGATGGCCGTGCACACTCATGCTGCATGTTATGAGGTTGCCATGTTGAAGAGAATGTTGATGTAGCACAATTTAAAGATTCATGAACAATGTTGGCACTGTTAGGATGCTGGTAGCTCCATGCCTCCTGCACCGTTACATTGTACCTTCCTGTTGCAGTTCAGATTGAAGTATTCAATACTTCAGAAAGGATTTTTAAAATATATTTTTAAAATCTATTCCTAATGTTAATAATGTTTAATTACATCTCCCACTGTTTCTAACAAATAAGAAGACCTCTACAACTTACCTCTTTTATCCATTCTCACTTCCTCAAATACTGAAATCAGATATAAAATGAAAATTAACTTCCAAACAAAAAAAAATAAAAAAAAATAGCACAAAGAAAGGTTTGCTCAAAATAAATACTATATTACGGCATGCATCAATTTCAAAGAGGAGAGAACAGGTTCCACCCAGCATCCCAACATATATAGACACAACAAAGGCAGAAAAAGAAGCTGGCATCCAACTTCAAGAATGGGAAAGCAGTGAGTGAACAGCTGCATGCATCAAATTAAAGTGTAGAACGCTTGGAAACAGTAGGTGATCATGTAAAGCAAGGCTATGTAAAAACTATTTGGACTTTTTCATTGTAATTCCCAAATGTTTTCCTCTTTTACGAACAATCCTGATTATGATACAAATATATCATGCTCATGACATTTAGAGACATAAATACCAGTACCCAGATAATTACAAGGTAAATCTCTACCAAGACGGAGAAAACAAATATTTATGGAAAAATGCAAGTCAAAGAGTGGTTTGTATTACTTACTGGATGATACATTGATAATCCTGGTGTCCATGCCATAGTCATTATACACTGTACAGGAGACACTCAGATTGGCTTTAGGCACTACGGTAATCTTGTGAGTGACTTTTCCATTGATGAAAGAACCCTCATTAGACTGGGAAACAGAAGTTTGAATTGTGAGTGCAAAAGATAGTTATATCTATCCAACAGTAACACATTCTCAACACTAGGGTGCAATGTTTGATCAGTATGTGAGACCAGGACTCTATTAGGCCTTTTGGGGGAAGACAGTCTTTGCCCGTGTCTCGGAGGAAAATCCCCAGACACAAAGACAACCTGGCAACACAGACCACACCTTTGTATAAACATCCACACATGTACACATATCTGTTAGCCCCTCCATATCCAATGTCCCACAAGGTCTAAATGCACTGTGAGGTGATAAGTATTTCTTCTTAATAATGTTTATATACCTGGGTGCCGTTGATGCTCCAGGTAACAGCTGGTTTTGGGGAGCCCTCAGCCTCACAGATGAGCACTTTGTTTCGTCCATCCTCGCTGCGCTGTTTATGCAGCTGTGTGATGACAGGTGCACCTTGAACAACCAACTCGAGCGAAGCTTTTTCGGTTAGTGCTCCCATTGTCACCTCATATTCGTACAGTCCAGCGTCACTGTACATCAACTTAGTAAACTTAGGCTCTTTGTCTACTTTAACATTATTCTGGAAAAGAAAAAATATAGAGCTGTTAGAAACATTCAGCCAGTGAATTTCAGTGGATTCGGTTCAACCATATTTTACCTTTGTCCAGGAGACCTTATATTTGCCGGAAGCATCAATCTTCAGATTTACAGCCAGGGCTTCACCTGCTTTCTTCTCCACACTCCCTACGGGGCTCAAATGGATGTCTAGGTCTGTAGGATTTGGAAAGAGGGTTGAGAAGTATGGTTCAGAAGCCTTGAATGTTAGAGACATTTGACGATAACTACACAGCCCCTCACAGTGCTGCAGATGCAGCTTATTAGAGGCTGCAAGGTTGACACTGAGCTTCTCTTCACAGAATAGAGACAATGCAGCCAAGCTTTCAAAAAGAAAACTTTCCATTCAACAACTCTTTTCCCTTTTCTCTTTCACTCTTAACCAGACCAGAGCTTTGTGCACATAGATATCTAAGTGCATGAATGTTTCATTCTCTTACAGTTGACTGTGATGTCCTTGGAGGCTTCCATTGTTGGGTTGTCAACAAGTGAACATTTGTATTCACCGGATGAGTCACGTGACACATTTGTAATGGTATAAGTGTTGTCATTCTGCACTATAACCGGGTCTTCATTTCCCTTTAAAGAAGAAGAAAAGTTATGATTACTAGCAATTCGAGTTAATAGTCATAATTTAAACATGATCTCTACCTTGAGATAGAAGTTAAAACTGGTAGGAGGGGGGTTACCATCAGCTTCACACTTCAGAGTCACATTGCTTCCCTCAATGAGAGGCTCAGGAGCAATGACCTGGAGCATGACGTTCTCTGTCGAGTCTGTCACAAATTACAAGACAAGAAGATGGTCAGCCTTTGGGATATATTGTCCTAACCGCTTTTATAGACCTGTGGTGGTTTACATGACACATGACCTGTGAAAGTGGATACAATACAAAAGCATAATGCAAAGACTTACAGGTGATGGCGAAGCGCTCAGAGGAGGAGCTGAACTTCTGGCCCATGCTGTGCTCTGTGCTGCAGCTGAACTGGGCGTCTGTATCCTCCTTCTGTGCCGTGTACATGAGCACCGAGGTGCTGGTTGAGAGACCCGTCATTGGGTCAACATTCACTGAATTTTGGACGTCAACACCTAGAAGTCAAATATAGGGAAATACAGTCAATGCTAATCTCTCCTACAAAACACATTATTCCTTTAATATTTAGGATACAGAAAAATAATACCTTGCTCATTTTGCACAAGTGGTTTATTGTTCTTGAGCCATGTGATATTCACTGCTGGATTGGCATCTTTTGCGAAACATTTCCCAAGCTACACAAAAAGATTAAAAACACATCTTTAAAATAGTCAACATGGGCTATGAGGTTGACAGAGTAAAATGGCAACATATTTATTCTTATATTCTCAAAAATATGAGCTGCAGACCCTGAGTTGCACTTTCAGGTCTTTTGAATCCAGTGGGTATTTTAATCACATTCAGGGAGGGTCTGCTCTTAACTAATTCATAAAAATCACTTCAAAGAACTCATTACAGTAGTGACACAAGCTTTGTTGGGCCTCAGGATCCCTCCGCCCCAGCAAATGCATTTATTCCACGGATCCAAATGTTGCAGGCCGAACAACAACTCACCTTAGTTTTCTTGCCAATCTCTAGTTCCTCTGCCTTTTCAGAGACCTCCAGACCGAGGGGCATCTCTGCAATATAAATTATAATGTAAATGGACAGGACAAACATCACCAAAAATAGATGTAGCAAATATGTATTTTTGTTGGCTACTCACTGTAGATGACCACATTGACAGTAACCTCTTTGATATCTTCCTCAGACACCACCATGCAGGTGAAGGCTCTTTGGTCTCTCATTCTGGCCTCAGACAGCAGCAGACTCGAGTTAGAGGCCAAGCTGACTCTGCTCTTGTACTCGTCTTCGGCATTCACAGACACATTTTGTCCTGCCTTTTTAACCAGCATGTTTCCGAAAACCCCTTCACCTTTGTCCTACGCAACAATACAATGTAGCATTTATTACAGGTGACCTACTGCAAAACAGACACTTATTTTTTGATACAGTGACCACTACTTTTAGTATCAGTTTTCTGTGGCAGTTTTAAGTTTTGCTGGTCGATGGAATTCCACAACAACCCATACAGTCTGAAAGCATTTGCAATACCAAAAGATAAAGATACAACCCCCCCAGACAAACACCAGGAATATAAATGAGGACCCTGATTTTACAGTGTTTGTATGAATACATCTTTAAGCTTCCCCATTGTATTTGTCACTGTGTTAGGTTATGTTTTACACTGCCATCTTGTGTATGTTTGTAGTCACTGCCAATAGGTTAATTTCCCACTATAGGTGGCGAAGCCCAATTAACTATTCAGAACTATAACATCACCTGATAATTTGAGCACTCTTTTGTACCCTGATGAAGGCCTGTTGGGTGAAACGTGTTGAGGCTCAGTATGGCTCACTATCGAGACATGCTATAAATAATAACAACATTTTAAATAAACTTAAACTAAATATTAAAGGAATAATGTGTTTTGTAGGAGAGATTAGCATTGACTGTATTTCCCTATATTTGACTTCTAGGTGTTGACGTCCAAAAAAAGGATGAGGGCTCCAATGCAGGGCATTCTGGGTAACTCCAGACACCCTCTGCATGACACTATGGCCGCTCAGAGGAGTAATTGAAGCAACAGGCTCCTATCACTGCGCTCACAGAACAGAACGTTTCAAGAGATCCTTTGTTCCTTCGGCTGTCAGACTGTACAACAAACCTAAATGAGTCTTCTGCTGCTGGACACCTGAATTTCTCCTACGGGGGATCAAGAAAGTATCTATCTATCTATCTATCTAAAGGGTTTTATACGTGATTTTTTTAATTGAATAAATCATTACCTAAAAGGTAAAGATAATGTTTTTGGCATGCTTCAGTTGCGCTGTGATTGAACTTGACCAAAGGATAAGAAAGCAAAGTTTTGTATGAACAAATGAATGAATGAGATCGCACACGTTAAAGCATATCGGCCAAATGCGAAGAGGTACGGCCTTCAACCTGCAGTCCATCACAACAAATACATCACAGAGAAAACAAGACCTGCTTCATGAGGTTTGCGCCTGTCTGCATTCTATCACAATTTTAAAGGCAAAAAATTAGCTGCATTTAGAGTGGGGTTTCAATTGTCTTCACTAAATGCTGCTTGTACTTTGTACTTTCTTTGACGTTGTGCATGTAGTTTCACAGACTGAAAAAATTCCAACCAAATGTCATTCAAATAAAGTGCAATTGGTCATCAGCGGCGACAGATGAATGCTCTGGTGAACAGTGCACTCAGACTGGGCGTGGCGCAGACCTAATGAGTGGGTGTCGGATGCACTTCAACCATGTAACTATTGACCTCTGCGGCGACTTACATATTTCCATTTAGTCATGATGATGTCTTCAGCGTGTTTGGTCTCTATGTTGCATGGAATCTCCAGTGTCTCCCCAAAAAGACCAAAGACTGTGTGCTGTGAACTGCTCACTGCAAAAGACAGAACAAAACACATTGTATAAATTACATTTGAACATTGTGAATAGTACTAATTCTTAGACCCAAAACGAATTCCCTTTCCACTGATGTTGACCTGACACTCTCTAATCAATACCACTTTGGGTTCAAAGAACAGCAGCTTTTAGAGAGCTTGTCTAATTATACAGACCTTCTGGTAAAAGTAACCATTCTCTTTCCAAATTTCTTTCCATGGAATTGTCATGGAGATATGTGCAAAGGAGAGGAGAGTGCAGTCCAAGGATCTCAAAGGGAAGAAATTATGTGTTTGAGCCAAAGGGTTTAAAGGGAAAAACCATCACGGATCAAATAAATAAAGCTTACTTACTACTTACTTACTTACTTACAAATGCAAATTAGGCACAGCTCAATTTGACTTACTTTTTACATTTTTAAGGCATTAATATTAAACTCAAGGTGCACAAACCAAAGTCAATTTAATAGCATGAATTTAAACTTTTTTATTCCAAAACTGGGTGATTAAAGGTTAAATAAATTATCCTTTTAAATAGTTTTGCCACAATGTATCATTGAATTTGGTCAACTGAAGCATAATCAACATTTTAAGCCTTAGCTACCATTGTTCACATAGTTTTCACTACCAGGGCCCACTCTGCGTATTTGCACAGTTGTGCGGTCACAATGAACAAGCATATGCGCATAAAAGGTCCCTTTCCTGTTTCTTCTCCCCTTGGATCCAAAATCCTACTTTGCAGTCTGAAACGTGACTTTTTTTGTTCATAGGAGACAGAAAACCTGGTATTATCGCCCTGACGGGGCCAATAATGTGCCACAGAGCTGACTATAACTGCAAAAAATACCTAAACTAAAAATAGTAATTATGAATGGAAGTTGCTTTTAGCCAACTAAAATTTCTATCACAATGTGTTAGTAAGAGCCATGCATGAGGAATACCCAAAGTGATGACTCTAAGCACTTCTCTCAGCTCCATCCCAGAAGATGGAGTAGCTTCTAAACATCAAAGAAATACAACATACCGCTCTTTAAGAAAACACCGATAATGCAGCGCTGCGCTTACGCCGATACAATCTCTGCATTTAAATAAGGCTCAGCGACATTTACTACTGACAGCACAGGGCAAAACAAACCACACTGAATATTTAGGAAAGTGACTCTGGATCATTTCATTCAAATGCAGTATCTAAGTATTGGACAATTTAGTCCTATTTACTGCTACGGCTGGCAGGATAATTTGTCTGGGATTTAGCACGCCAACAATCATGTCTTTACTTAATAACTGACTGAGGGTTAGAAGCACATCCACCATCACTAACATAAGCCAAAAGCAGAAAATAATGTTTTCCTTTGTTATTCAGTACAATATCGTATTACAAGCTTTTCAAAGTCATAATTGAAATAAGTTTGAATTAAAAATGAAGTAGAAAGTCACTCCCCTTTTGGTAAAAATGTAGTAGCTTTTTGGAACAAAACAAAAAATCATTTATTTTCTACAATTATTCAAAACCCAGGAACTTTGTGCATTTGTCTCTATGTTGAGAAACACAATGTCATGCTCAATGGGGGAAAACCCCCCAAAAACAATCAAATCAATTTGAGATAAATATCAATATTTGTTAAAATAGATACGATATAGATTTTTCAAAATGTAAAATTCATATTTACATTTTTCAGAGATCCACAAATTGCAAACAGAAGCTTGAGCAGAGAAAACTTTTCTACAATCAATGTTCAATAAATGGAATGCACTCATAATGTTTAGTGAAATGAGGTTGAGCATTAGGAATCACATTATATTGACTTGAAAATGCCGTATATCTAAATATGTATTCTATTGTGGCTTATGTATCGTAATGGCTACTTGCTACTTGCACACGTCGTGAACCTTGATTTCACAGTGACTAGTTCTTACAGTAATTTGGGTTACTTTTACCTCAGCCCCATCCATCATACAGTGATGCAATAGAAAATGAAAACAGTGTGCACATGCGGTAAGCTCGCCATCCTGATGGGAATCTAATGAACTGGCTTATGTGCATCAGCTCCCTTTATCTGGATATTCAGGTTTTTGCAGAAAGATTATGGAAAGAATACATTTTTAGGGTGGGGAAGTTAATGAGGTCTCCTGGCACATGGAGAAAAGAAAGATTAAATGTTTAAATTCCATTCACATACTTAAGATACTACTGCTGTTTTTTTTTATATATATATAAACAATAAACACTCAACTAACAATCAACTATTTCCTCCTTTACAATATTATGTTCAACTAGTTCAGGCAAGAAACAGGCACACTTTTACAGATAAAAATAAGTACTATGATCAGGGTTGTACGACTACTCCTCAGTGTCATAAAGGTTATCGTTTTACATTTCAAATTCCAAAACCTAATTTTCCACAACATTTCAGCTTGCTGGATACCCTTTATAATTATTTACAAAGCTGTAGTCCTTATCAACGAAGATTACATGAATAGGTAGTTTGTTACATTTACTTCCGTATATGATCTAGTGCCGACCCACTCGCACTACTCGCTAGCTAATATTGTATTTGATGAAAGTAGGCTCCTGATTGGTCAGTTGTTCGGGCTCATGCTCACTAGTAATGCTTATTTACTAGCCTCATTTATCTAAACTGTGGATGCAAATCAATGTTTAAAGCCTGCTAATCACTTTAAAGGAGAACCTTTTAAATTATAGAAAGGAGGAAAATTCAAAACCTAAAACTTGTTGTTTGTACAAGTAAAATTTGGTAAACAAATCAGATCACAGGCTGTCTCCATCTTATTATAAAACATGTCATATTTAGAAAATCTTGTCTTCTTGGTAGAATTAAAAGGTAAATAACATTGCTAACCTACTATTGTCTGGTAAAGAAGAACCAAATACTTTCAGTCATATTTTGAGTACTTGTAAAATAGAGCCCTGTGAGTCACTTGGTGGTTTGGGTAGAGTGCTGATTGAAGGTGGTCCTTTACACTTTTCCATCTGAAAAGGCTGATCTAAATATGTGACAGATACTGAATATACATACATACTACATGTTTTGAGAGCGAGGGGCTAGTGAAATGGATTTGATTACATTTCCACACAGTTTAAAAGTTAGGTAGCCCTGCTTTAATGGATAATCCAATCTCTCAACAGGGAGTGTGTGAAGCTGTAGCCAACCGCATAATTGACAAGAACACGGCACCTTTCATGTTTTCGATATTCTGCAGCCCAATGACGAAGAAGGTGATGACAGCCCACTTGGGAAATCATCCGCTTCTCTTTGGCCCCTGCCTCCTCATCTTGTGTCTTATACCATCCCTAACTGTGTTGCCATAGTATCTTTCAGGGCTGTATCCAAGAAGAAAGCAGCGGCTAAAAGTTATTAAGTGCAGAAAATGAGACGAGTGCATCGACTAGAGATCCCATGGTACGTGGCCACACTGAGTCTGAGGCTTCAGAAGTGCTTGGGTGGTGACACATACAGTTGAGAAAGATCAATAAAGCAAAGAGGCAAGTTGCTCATTGCGAAAAGGGGTGGTAGTGTGAATCGAAGAATGCCCATTGTGACTGCCATAACTTTGAGTGAGATTATTGTCTCTTTTGTCGAAGCTTACGATGTCATTTTTCACTCACACCATGACCAGTGATGGCAAGCCTCTTCTGAGCCACAAGAAGATTGATGAATGATCCTTGTTTGTAGATTCTTGCATTGGCTTTTCAATAGGATAACCGTACATTGCAATCTTCAGTCATTACACTAATCATGTAAGTCTAAAGTTACAATTGAAATATGAATTAGATTTTATAATTTCTTTCTGTCAAGGCTGCCATTTTAAACTATTCCAAAACTGTCAGCCATGTCCCCTTAGCATACTTGTAGCTATTTGGAAATAAATGAGTTGTAGCCGACTCTATTTGATTTGTATTCACTATATAGCTTCAGTGTCCTAACAAATACAAGAACATTGGAATTCCACTACTGTATCTCTTGGTGAGAAAGAAAGAAGTTTATATTTTTAATAAATAGGACCAGAACATTTCCACTTTCTTGATTTTTAATGCTTTGATGGAAAGAATGAGCATACAACATTGTAATCGCCTACAGAGCTTCTATATAATTTCATTTTTATCTGCGTCATGCAATTGCCCGACAGAAGTGTTGTACAGTAGTGTTCTACAAGATAGACATGCTTTTATTTCTGCTCTGGAGAAAGCTAATGGCATTAATTTAGGAAAGTACGCAGCATATTTTCTTTGCATTAAAACACAGTAATAATAGGTTTGGATAAAAACACGACTGTTGCCGACATGATAAATGGCACCCTACAGGTACATATATATTAATCAATACTTAAAGAAAGACTAAACACCAAATCAACTTTTTTTAACTCATAAACTGCATAAATATGTTAATTGTAGTGCTCTCTACATACTTGAAACTCATTTCAACATATATGAATAGTGGACCCTCGGATCTCCTTTAAGACATTGTAACAGAAAGAGTCTTCCACAAAGAGGCTTAAAACCGCAGCAAGATTTAAATCACATTTAATAAGCTGCAAAAACATGCTGTAAAATAATACACTAAAGTAACAAATTGTGTGTTTTTCCTCAGAAATGTTAGCAACTGCATTATTACCAGTATTTATTTATTTAGACATTTATTTTAAGAGGAATAACCCCATGAGATGCATCATCTCGCTTTTGTGGGGGTCCTCCATAGACAGGTTGCAGCAGAGTAGTCATTTGATGTACAACTATAGCAAAAGAAAAAATAACAAAAACAGATAAAAAGAAATTAGAACAGATTACAAACACAAAAACACACATTTTTTGAGTCCCAAGTCATAAACTGAGAGAAAGGAAACACAGTGACAGGGGATGCTGTAGAGGCAAAGCCCCGCCCAGTTCCACAGCAGAATATGTGATGTTCAGATATGAGATTGAATCAATATTTGAAAAGGGACATGTGATCCAAACAGTGCAAGTGCTGCAGTGGGGAAC